TTTTTTCATTAGGACATCTCCCGTGCTAGTTTTCCATACTCACACTTGCCTACTCATTGCATGCTTGCATGCTCAAAGCATGCTTGCGTACCCATCACTTGTATACTTACACTGCGTGCTTACCGCGTGTCAGTGTGTATGTGTAAGTGTCAATGTCGAAGTGTCAGTGTATGTAGTGCGACTGTAGTGGAAGTGTCAGTGTGTAAGTGTAAGTGTCGAAGTGTCAGTGTTCAAAGGATTTTCCGGAAGAACCCTTCGCAATGCTTTCGGGAATAACGTCCCACGTGGAAAGTCGTCCAGTTGGGGGACCATGCCTTCCACTTCGATGTGTTCGTCAAGAGTGAACCTGGAGATGTTGCAGAATCTCCTGCAGGGCATGGTGCTTCGGTGGTACGAGTGGTGGTACGTGCCCCCCATCGTTCTTGGACAAAAGATTCCAAATCAATGGCGAAGAAGAAAGACCGACTGAGGCGTGATTCTTCGCAAGACGCCGAGAAACATATTCTAAACATCCCGATCGCCTCACCTTCCGATGTGCGAACTGAGCACATGCAACTGAGCACGGCGCGAAACTGATCGAAGGTGACCTCGCACGCCTGACGTTTGTCAAGGAAATGGGGTCCAGACTCGAGACCGAGACGTTCTTCTATGTATAGGTGGCTTTAAGCAGTAGATGGCAAACCTGGGCCCCCTAGGTTGGGTACTAGGTTGGGTCTGATGTCTGTCTAGACCCCCTTGACCTCCTTCAACCTCCTCCCTCAGGGTGCCAATCGAACCTCAACAACCACTGGAGGTCCATCCGCGCGGAACGGAACCGGTTCATTCCTCCGTTCCAACTCGGTGCTTGGGAAGCATGTGGATATGCTGGAGTTCTGGAATTGATTTCTGAGCATCTCATAGGTGACTGGTCAGAGCTGACCTAGGTGGTCACTGCAACTCACTAAAACGGTAACAATTTCACTCGATCTCCAAGGAAGAACAAAAACGACACATAGGAGGCTCACGAACCTCTGTGTTCCCTATAGCCGAACATGCATGTATGGTATATACCATTCACCCCAATGTAGGTAAATATGGCATACGTGGAGTGTTTGGGATGAGCACTACCGTGTTTACACTCTGACTCACCTTCTGAGGAAGTGAATGGCATGGTCGCTTGGAAAACGACATTCCTTGGTCCAATTCCATGTTAGTGAGTCCCAGTTTGCGTCATCTGTCATTTCCATGTCATGTCCCACTTCCGTCTGTCAAAAAGCGAGCAGTTCCTTTACTGGTACTGATACTGGGCGCTGCTGTTGTACCGTGGTACCACGACCGTGGTACCATGTGGTGCCCCCTTCTTCAGTGTTGTCCCGAAAGGGCACCTGGCACACTGCAGGCCGGTCGGGATCTGCAGCTAAGGTCTCGATCATATCCTGCAAAGCTTGGTCGGAGATCTCCGAAATCATCGAGCTGGTTGTTGAGACGTCCTAGGGAGCTCTTCCAGTCCTCGACCAAACACACAAACGACATCAAACGACACGTCTTCTTCTTCGTTTGCCCAGCTCTCCCTCGCTCGAGTGGCCGCCCTCGGCCGCCCATCGATCCATCGATCGAAGGTGGCTCCTCGACATTGTAGAAGGTTTGCACCTCGGCACCAGAAACTGGTGGATGAGGGCCATGATCCCGAAAAACAAGGTGGACACGTGGTTGACACTCCCGAAAAACTCACGACCCTGACGTCCTGGCCTCCTGGAAGAGTGTAGGCTCCTCTACCAACCAGTGGGTTTTCAGGGTCCATGTTAGTCTTCCAGGGTGTAAGGATCCTGATAATATCTGTGACCCTGATCATCGAGAGGGATTTTTCGATGGGATTGGGGGTTCCATACCATTCCGGTGAGGATTGCTGCATGTTGGTATGTGCTTCATCTTGCTGGTCTGCAATGATCTAAGGACAATGGTCTCAATCTGTCTCAATCATGCCATGAGCCACATTATGCCGCCTTATCGCACTCCACGGGCGGGTGTCAAACTGGTCCCTGCTCCAGTTTAAAAACATGCATGGATGTGTTGTGACCCAGGTGAAACTAACCAAGTCACTACTGCAACCAAGACAACAAACAGCACAAATCCAGATCCATTCTGTATCCCACAGTGTCTCATCTACCCTCTTCGTCTTCTTCCTCTTCTTCTTCTTCCTCTTCCTCTTCTTCTTCTTCCTCTTCCTCTTCTTCTTCTTCTTCTTCCTCTTCCTCTTCTTCTTCTTTATCTTCCTCTTCTTCTTCCTCTTCCTCTTCCTCTTCCTCTTCCTCTTCTTCTTCTTCTTCTTCTCATCCAGTGTTTGCATACGGACGATCCCCCCATTGCCCCAAACCCAGCTTAGCTCCCCACAGACCACACGCGGAATTTGTGCCACAGGACGGCGTCCTCCTTGTCCAGTTCATCCTCACCCGCTCCGCCGCGCAGGGCGCGAGTCATGCGCAGCGCGTCTAATGCGTGCGAAACGCGCGGCCCGTGCGCCTCATCGAGTCCGCGATCATTGGTTTGGTTCAGGGGATCTGTCAAGCTTCAAAAGCATGACATGCAGTGAGAGGCAACTGGATGATTTTTTGGAAGGCACCATATCTTCTTTAGCTGCCACTGTTGCACCAGGGCATGTTTAAATTGAATACCCCCTTGACAGAAGAAGAGCTACACTCAGTTTGGTAGCTGCATACCGCATACCTGGCAATCCATCCGGACTATACCCGCAAATCTCATGGCGAGTGGGTTCAAGTCTCATGAGCTGTTATGTCTCGCAGCACCATGAACCAAATGTATCCAAATGTGCCTGAAATGGCACAGAACGGCGGCAAAGTGATGGATCGATAGCTTAGCGACTCGATGGAACGTCAGCTCTCCGACCTGGATCAACAACCTGACTATACATGCACAGTCCATGTCACAGTATCTACGTGGGAATCCACTATTGTGGTCCCCAAATGGATAGTGACACGGTTTCCAATACATTTTTAGTGGAGATATCTTTTTCATATCTATTTGGGGGTCTATGTCTATATAGGAATTGCGAAGCTCAGGTCGACTTTAATTGGAATTCGAGCGCCAAGATTGTTCTGCAGCATGATGCGACTTGATGCTCATCTTGGCCAAAGGACTATCGTTTGTATCGAAGATCTGACTTGGGTAATATCTTCTTGACCTTGTTGACCTACCATGTGGGGTGGTTTATTACTCCGGTCTTCACATCAATTGTATGTCATTCCCAGAAACAGAGTATGATGATGAGCCAAAACCGTTCCCCTCAAAATCTGGATGATTTGGGTCTACCCTGCTAGCAGTAACAATCTGTAACAGTGGATGATGCTTGGCAGGGCGGCCTTCAAGATGATGCGTGATCAGCATCTTCACTGACTACTGTTCCAGGTAAGAACGGACAAAACCCCATTGATCATGACCAACCGTTACGGGCCGGGCCTATATAGGGACACCGTCGCTCGGTGGATGGCTCCCTCCCCAAGGCCGGCCGCCCCCTTCTGGGTGAGCCCGGCGAGGGTGATCTCCTCAGACCGGTCCTGGCGGTGTCTGGAGCCACGGAACCGGTTTCCACCGGTGGAACGTGTGGCGGTGCGGTACCCTGCGCCAGTGGCGGTACCCTGTTAAGGCTAGGGCTCCAAGCAAACGACTTCGTCCAGAAGGTGGCCCCTTACTGGCACCCACCCCAAGCACCTTCGAAATTCAGGTATAGTTGGAGTTTTGTAGGGACAGGTCTTCCATGGTTTCCCTACTGTTGCTGTGGAATAAGCACATGGCATGGCTTGGGAGGGTTAAAACCTGGTGTCTTTCAGCCAGGTACTGATCAGAAAGCACTGCTGTATCGGGGCGGGGGCTGAAGCACACCAGTGGATTCAAAACATTCCAACACTTCTTGCTTCAAGGGTTGAAGCTCACCCGCAAACCACCCCCAATGGGGCCCAACATGGAGAGATGCATTATAGCTAGGGGTCTACAGTATTGCAGGTGGTGAAACCGAGGTTCATGGAATGCCAGTTTGCTGGCATGATGAAAAATGATGAAAGCCAGAAATCTGACACTGAACATTTCAGTGTCCAGTCATGTCCAGTCTACCAGTATCACGCCTAAAAAACCTCCCCTCCTTTCCTAGCCAATGTCCTAGCCTACCAGGCCTACATCCCGGACTCCATGGAGCCGCCCCACCCACCCGGTCTGGACCGGGAGCGTCGATGGAAAACCCCACTGTCGATCGGTGCCCCCGGCCACGTCGATCTCCGCGAAGAGCTGCGGGATCTCGCTGGCCGGGTAGCCTCGTCCGTCGCCGTCCGTCGACCCACCCGGAGCGGGGTGGACCGCAGCGCCGATAAGGCGGCGGACGGACGGAACGGGGTGCCCATTGGTCCTTACAGGAGGTCCCAGGGTGAGGTTTTCGGACACTTTTAAAGACCAGAACAAAAGAGAGAAAAGGCATGGAAACAGTGCTGTGGGTTCTTTCTGACCCAGGGCAACCATGGCATCTTTTAGTCGGTTTTAAGCACTACGCCAATAAAAAAACGATATAATAATCACTGACAGTATGGTTTCAGTGTAGAAGCCACCTCCAATAAAGGCTTTCGGGACTGGCTACTCTCTCATCTTCAACCACAGTACATCGCCCTCAACATCCGTCAATACACTCCGAGTGAAACACCAACAGAGTCCAGATCCAGAAATTAAAACAAAAGTAGCTATCAACCAAAACTCCCACTTCCTGAGCGATAGCTCCAGAGGGGTTTATAGTGGCACACAGGTGCAAAAAGCATCTGCCAGTTTCCACGCTTGGAAACTCAGCTGTCGCATGCCCTCCATGAACTCCAGCCTCAGGTGGAAAAGCGCCAACCAAACACTCGGTAGCTTCTTGTGACGTTCGTAGCGATGGCCTCCAACCTACTTGCGATGGCCTCCATCGAGCATAGCGTCGTTGCTACTTGTAACTAGTAGCCATGCCCGTTGGCCGGTGTGGTCCGAAAAACGCGGGACGACTGCGGTTGGGACTGCCAATCTCAATGTTCTCCAATGAGGATCAATGAGGTATCAAGCCCCATTGTCACCCCTCCCATTGCCACCTTCCCTGACAGAAGAATGATCTCGGACTTCAGGTTGAAGTTGAAGACCGGGGGGAGGGGAAGTAAGTCGTCTCAAGTTGGGTCTGAAATCACACTTACTAGTTGGGGCCTAGTATGCCTTCTGGACAGCATGCACCAAAGATATATGGCTCGAGTATGTAAAATCTATCAAGTTTCTTATGTCTAGGGCTCCGCTTCTTGCAAGAATTGTGATAAGTCCAGTGACAGGAGACCTTAGCTGAACTGATTCTGATACGTAGACAGCCTCCCACTCTTGCCCCGCATCATGTTGAACTAGATCCTGCATAAACTATACCTCATCCTTACAGTTGATTCCCTCACGTGGCATATCAGGAAAAAGTGGACCTGAATTTTAAGGAAACAACATGAACACTAAAAAGATTAAAAAGTAAGGGATCAAATCACCAACCCATACTATCCATCCCACAGCTCCACACCCTACAGCTCCGAAAAAGCAGCTCCACCAGCTCATTCAAGCTGCTTGTCGATCCTGTAGTCCACATTGGTGTCAAAGTACTTTAACCTCAGAACACACCAATGCGCTGTGCCCTGCTTGCCACGGCCGCACTGCGCCAATCCGCAAGCGATGCGCCACACGCGCGCGAAAACAGCCAGAACCTCTCTACCCCACGTGCCCGATATAGTCTGCACTTCAGTCGGGATGGAAGGGCGTCGGAAAGACGATGAACACGTCAAGGACGTGGACCACTGTATCGATGGATTCCTCTTGAGCTTTTCAGGCCTGACACCCAGTCCGTGACCGGCCTGTCCCCCCGTCACCGGGCGCCCGTGCCATGCTTGCAGCAAGGACCCACAGGACTCAATCAAGAAGCTCCGCAGCCGCTCCAGCGCCGAGACACCTCGCCGCCGTCCCGGTGGGAAAGAAGAGCAAATCCGGAGGGCAAGACCGCCCCCCCGGTGTAGAGTGTAGAAAAAAGATGAAAGCAGAAGTGGCTTCAAATTGGGTGAACTTCGAGAAGTTCCTGGAAAAAGATCGGTGTCCGGAGCAATGTCTGCCACGCAAACATGGTTGCGAGTGAGGGGAGGAATAAATGCTTGTGTTTTGTCCGCTGTTCAGTTCATGTGAGAGACATTGGAGCTGGAAAAATGTGTGTTTGTTTCGGTGTCCCACATCAGGTGTCTGAATTGCAATTGCCCTTGAAAGAAGACCCGCACCTTTGGCACAACCAATGGACTTGATGTGCCAAGCGGTTTGCGGTTCGACCAGTCGGGTCTAGGCGGGGCTAAGCCCACCAAATACCTCGAGATACCTGCTTGGGGCTCCTGAGTCTTCATATTCATTAATTCATTGACCATCATCTCCCAGTAGATGATGGGATGATGATGGTTGGTAAAATTTGGTAAATGCCTTTCCTCGTCTAAAATAGTGGATCATACGCATGTGATAAATGAAATTCTTTGCTGACTGGTATCCAGTTAATTCTTGGGACAAACCCAACATCTAATCACCCAAGTTGAACTTAACTACACCATTCTTCCGCGCTGGTGAACCTCACACCGAAACACAACGACAACGCCCTCCAAGTGCACCTGGGCTTGAATCCTCCATGATCACCGCAGAAACGGCCCACACACACTTGAGCCGGCAAAGCCGTTAGGAGCACATCGAGAGGCGCATCCGTCCGTCGAACGAGGGCCGTGCCGGGGATCTGCCAGCTCTTTTGCACTTCAAGTCACGGGATGCCCGATGCCAGGAACCCTAAACCCTAAATCCAACAAACCACCTAATTACCTGGATCATCACTGGATCCTCCAATTCTCCCAAACCAATCCAGACATGGCAATCCAAATGAACCCAACAAACCTCACTCAATTCACCAATCCAACCATGGCCATGCGACCGATCCGTTGGGATGGACCGGAGAGGTCCACCGGAGGTCCAAATGGGTCCCCTCCGTGGAGAGAACGAAAGGACCCTGAAAAACCCACTGGGTGTTACAGTGGTTTCAGAGGTTCGATGGCACTGGCACCCGAAGATGTTTTCTTTTCCTGGGTCCATATAAACCACCAAACTTGGGGATTGTGCCATATATATATATATTATATAAATATGTATATTCTGACACCACTATAGATGAAAAGAGTCTTGCAAGGGTCTGCTCTTTTCACGGTCCATCTTAGTCTGCAGAGGAGGGTGAATATGTTCGTGTGGATCAGGTCCTCGCACCCCGAGGACTGGCAGGTAGGGCAGAAACGTGGGCATGTTCGAGGCTGAAGAACCATAGCAACGGAACTAGCAACGAAATATGTGTTCAAGTGACCAGACACGAGGCCAAACTGGACATGCTCCAGCCTGCAGCCGGTCCAAAGAAGACCAAACACCACAGTCGTTCGTCTTTGCCAGTCTTTCCGGACTGGTAGAAACTGCATTGCATTGCCCTTACCCTAGGGATCCAAGTACCTCCTCAAAAGGTACGACTGGACCCTCCTGGCACCCACCCCAGTCCCACCTTCTCAGAGGGCACTTGGATCCTTAGGGTTATGTAATATATGCCTTAGACCCGCAAAAAGAGAGGCCAGAACCCGATGCGAGGTGTGCATCACGGGTGTTTCCCGATGTCCAAACGGCGTTTGAGGAGGAAACGACGCACTCACTAAGGGTCCAAACAGTATCCCTAGAAAATTGCAGGCAGCAACTTAGATTCCAAATATTCAAAGTGCAGGTTACAAACAAATAGCGTTGGACGGATGGGCGCGGCTTCGGCGGTTTTTCGTGACTTCCTGGACTTTCAGAAAACGCATTATTCCTCAAAATCTTTGGAGGCGATAGCGTTGCAGTGACAGAGGAGATGGCACACAAAAGTGTTGTGCTTATGTTTGTGGATTGCTGGATCTGTGTGTATGGAATCCACATATACAAGACCTACCTCCAAAAGATGGTGGAACCTATACGGAATCCGTGTATCATTACCCGTGTGCATGCATGCATGCTACATACGATCTACCTCCGTTTACCACGGCCTGGCCGGGCTTTGGATGCATCCCGCTGCCGATCAATCGATCCTGTGCCAAGTCCTGTAGGTCCCATCGGGTCACGGTCCTGTACACGTTACACGTTCTCCGACTCACGACGACCATGGAAACGACCACCATCCTTGCGTTGGCAGGACATGTCCATGGAATGCTAGCAGCATCCACATCCATTCACCAGGAGTCGACATGGAGTTACGGGTGGTTCTTCGTCCCATCCAGTGAGTGGATGTGACAGTGGCACCCTGACTTCCGCCGTTCGTTCGGCACCCCGTCGAACGTGACGGCTGGAAGGAATCAAGATCTCCACTTTCCATGGGATGTGAGTCAGAGGGTAATCAACCTGCAGCTCTTCTGCAGGTCCTCAGCCTCGATTGTTTTCGAGGAAACCTCTCAGAGGTAATAGGCCTGGTGTTGATGCGGTTTCGCGCGGATTTCGCAACAGGGCGGCGCGAAATGGCGAATGGTTTTGATTTCAAGCCAGGCACCTCAACACCCACCAAAACTGATGGAAAGTAAGCACTCCTCTCCTCAAACTCCTCCAAAACCATCCGATCTGCTCAATCATAAATCTTCCACCTGGTTCTTCAAAGGTGCCTTTTGATCTCCTGGTTTGACGTCACAAGCAGGCCTATTTGACGTCGTGACTGGTCGCGACTCCAAAGAGCTCACAAGCTGCAGAAGCTGTATATAGATAGCTGTTGTGGCTTGTAGTGGGGGGCTATTTGAAACTCTCGTGCGAGGCTGACGGTCGCTCGTACTTGAGGGTGATCGGGCGAGCCGTGTCAGGGAAAAACAACCTGAAAGAACTCCGAGAGATGCAAGAGACCTCCAGGTCACTGGGGTTGAAATCGCCTAACCCCAACAAACTCAAACAATGTGCAGTTTCGAAACCCTCCTACTACACTTTGAGACTAAAGAAGAAACCAGGATTGCGTATTTTTAAAATATACCTCTCATGGGAGCTTAAAACATTGCCTTCACCGCTTTCACACAACTACAGTAACTGTAACTACTATGTGCACAAAAAACTTCTTGTGCTATAAAAACCCAGACTGGAATCCCCAACTTTCACTGAGAGCTCCCCACAGCTATCCACAGCCGGGCCTCCCTGCCAGGCACTTCTGGAAGGCGCTGGAGTGACCGCTCCTGCTCGGACCTCGCCGCACACCTCGCTCCAGGCTCCGGGCCTCCGCGGCTCGCAGTTCCAAGGCCTGGAGGAAACGGCGAAGTCGTTCACCGACGGTGACGGGCGTTCGGCGTGGCTTTTTGGCAATGACAAAACACCTGGCCCTGGCCCTCCGAAGGGCGAGACGAAGGCGATGATGGTGCGATGGTGCTCATTGATATATATATATATATACATACATACATACACACATACATATATATTATATATAATCATTGGTATATGTGTTAACTTTCACCGCTTGTCGCGGAAACCCCTGAAACATGCGTTTCACACCCTTCACAGAACTGCTGACTCCCTTTAAAAAAACATCAGTGCCTTTGCGCGACCTGCCCTCCGAGTGAATTGTTGGCTCTTTTTTGGCACGCCTGTGCTGGCTGGAAGCCCGCAGTCCATAGCAAAGAGGCTAAAGCCCCTCCACTAATTTAGAGGGCCACACGGCCTTTCGCCCAACGTTTTTCTATGACTTTCACGACCAGGGACTTCCAAGGACCCTGGACGTTTCAACTAAATTAACTAAATTGAATTTTCCAGACCTAGGTAGCCTAGGTCCTAGACCATTGTTGGCGGCGTGACCCTAAGTGGCCCTCGTTTGAGGACTTTAATTTGTGAAGTCCTTGCCCCACGGCCCACAGCCCTACGGTTAAGTCACTTTAATCCTCCACCGAAATAGAGGCCTTGCACCTGGGGACCTAGATCTTGAAAGCTGGCCAGTTTGTGAAGTCTCGGTCTTTGATGTAGCCCGGCCGAAGTCCAAGTCCGAGTCGTTCATGTTTGAGATGTCCTGATCACTCATGTCCTTCTCATTTGAGATCTCCTTCTCATTGGTTGGGCCCAACTGGGTTCGGATCCGAAGAGATGTCATCACGTTGTCCTTTTGCGGAGCAGGCAGCAGCAGATCTCTCATAGTCATGTAGGCTGCATTATAAGCCACCCCGAAGATACCTCAACTTGGCAGGAGCTGGGCTGAGCCGTGACGAAATTTGGCCATCGCAACGGAACGTCACAATGGGTGTCCAAAGAACTAAAACTAACCAAATAGCCCGGGCAACCAGGGTAACTAGTTGGAAAAATGCAACAGCGACAGCGAAAGAGAAAATTGAAATAGATCTACAGCTAGCTAAGCCTGTTGCACCTGCCAATCACTCCGGTGTTCCCTCATGAACTTCCACCATTTGGCCGTCCATGACCGAAAAGCGAGCCCGTGACATCCAGCAAGGGCGAGATGGGACGGTGTATGATTTAAACTTCAAGTATGATAATGCTGCTGATTGTGCATGATTTTTCGGGAAGCAAAAGCAAATCCAGAATCATTGGACCGGTGCTCGGACCGGACCATCAGGATCGAGGTCAGCCAGAATGTCTGTGGCCGTCTGTAGGGCTTGCTGAAGCTGTGTCAGTGCGATGGTTGTTCTGTGCAAAAGCGTAGGAACATCCGGATAGTCTGCCATCGGTAGTAAGGAGCCAACAGGTCAGCAGCGGCGGCAGCGCTAGAAACCATGAGACGAGCAGCTTGCGAAGACGGTGCAGGAGCGTGCAAAAATGAATTACGGAGCAAATGAATTCCGTCGAGCCACAACCAGTCATGCAAGTCCCAAAACTCAAGAAACATCAAGAACAGGAAAAAGTCACATGATCTAACAAGTGGCTGAAATCGGAGACGCATATCGGCGTGCATCGAGGTTGAATTCGGCTTCGTGTGAGTGCGAGTGTGAGTGAAATAGTGAGAGTGAGAGTGAGTGAGAGTGGGTGTGAGAGTGAGAGTGAGAGTGAGAACGAGAAGTGCAGATTTCGGCGCAGGCGCAGTAGTTCTCTCTCACTCTCACTCTTCACCCGCGCTCACTCTCACTCTCACTCTCACACTCATGCTCACTCTTCACTCGCACTCACTCTCACTCTCAC